CAATGTGTGTAAACTCCATATGCGTAACAATCTGTTCTACCTTGTATTTTGCTGCAACATTCTTGAGTACTCTGAAGAAGAGCTCTCTGTAGATCAAAAGCTTGTCTCTTTCACCAACAGAAGTTAGTCCAACAAAGGATATTACTTCATCCACGTTGTCTTTCTTTCCATCAACAGTCATTGCTTCTTTTTTCTCTAATCTTAGTTTCCTATCCCCTTGTGTGTTAGACCATCCCCTTTGGAGTAAAGGAGAGTGTTTCTGGAAAAGGCATTCTAAAAATTACACCAAAATAGGAAAGTATAATCTGCCCCCATTATCTGTGTGAGTTTCTCAAGTGAGCAGCAGCCTGGGGTTGTATTTCCATGAAGATGTGACAGTTAAGGTGAGACAGCATTTGCTTATGTATCCTGAAAGCACCCTCTTTTATGGTTTCTGGAGACCCAACACACATCACATTGCCAGCAAACATAGCAATCAGCTCAAATGTTATGCATAGCACAGAGGTCGTAGGAGGTGATACTATTGGCACAACTAGGTACAAAGGCAATAAATGTGTAGAAAATAGGAATGCAGCCCAGAATCCCAGGAGAGATTATAATAAAACATCACAGTGGAGGTAAATCATAGGTGTACAAACATTGCTACTATGTGCTGTTCCTAACATGGGTGCATCTACAGTATCACTGCTGGTTTTGCTGTGCATGTCTGTTCTTGCTGAGTCTGGAACTGTAGGCTCAGTGATCCCTATCGTGTTGGAAATCCACAGTAGGGTTACATGCAATCTGAATGTCTGCTGCATTCCAGCCCAGAGGTGGCTGCATTTCAGTGGTGGAGCATCAATTCGGAGAGTAGCAGGAAAAGGGACAAGGGGCATTGCGCTCCCCCATCCATAGTGAACACACTCAGTTCCATCGGATAGGACATAGCCCACTACATACACATTCTAGACAGAGGTGGTAGTGATCTGCCCTCAGCAAACGCCAACTCTTCCATGCTGTAACATTATTTAGTGATATTAGTTTAGCTGGACTGAGCAGCCTGTCATCATTAGATAGCTGCTTGCTCTAAATCATCAATCCCTTGTTTATAAATGGGCAGTTCTGCAGCCTCCCAGTGACACTGCTTATGATGATTTTTGAGGTGTGGGGCAACTTGGCGGAAGTAACTTTCCCATTTCTTATTGCACTGCAGCATGGAGGAGGGGTTACGTTCATATCACATGAACAATGGTACTGCTAGGGCCTGCTTAAAAGTCACTTTTCCTTTGCTGATGTTTTGCGACTAACCCTGTCATATCAGGCTGTGATCTAGTACCAGTGCTGCAAACCATGACTGCCCAGGATAGGAGGTACCCTTTCTTAGCAGTGTGGAAGAGTGAGATGAATGTCTTTTTTGTAATTACCTACCCAATAAACATACTTATTAGTAATTGATGATCAGTGATCAGGGCTCTGTTATGCTAGGTGCTCTATATACACAGAGTGAAAGACATGTATTCTCTGTTCCCATAACTCCCTCTCTCTCTTTGCCCTTTGTACTCCTTTCTCCATCTCTTTCTCCCCAGCTTACCTCTCTCTCCTGACCCTAGCCTTCCCTGATGTCTTGCTTGCTCTCTCTCTCCCCCAATTTTGGAAGAAGTTAGCTTTTTAACATTTGCCCCAATACCTACCACATACCCTCTCTCAACCATGATGCACAGTGGCATATTCTCTTTCCTCTCAGCAGAGAGACGCAGGGAGCACTAGAGTATGTGTCTAGTTGTTTCAGAGTGATCTTTGCATGACCCATGCAAATGGTGCCTCAGTTGACATGGGTTGTGTGTGTTGGGGTGGGAGGGAGCTGGCAGAAGCCAGAGGTGGCTGAGAATGCTTAACCTTTTTGCATCTTTCCCTCTGACTTTGTCATCCAGGGGATCTTTGTGTACATCCCTTTCTAGCTGTGTTTTCTTCCTCTCCCTCCCTCAGCATGTGGGCTGATCGCTGCTCAAACTTTTAATTCAGATGGTAATTGGAATAATAATACAGGCAGAGCCCTTCTGGCTCTGTTGCTGCAGCTGGCTTCAGGGAGCTATGAATAGCTCTGAGTCACACGCACAGAGCTGGTTTCACATCAGATCATTTTGTTTTGTTTTCATATTCCCCATCCCCATCCCCGGGACTTCAAAGAAAAAAAGTTCCCCCTCTCACACTACCCCGCAATATAACTCAGGCAAAAGTATGTCAATAAAATCTCTATTTGGGTGCCAGAGAATGGGATGCCTAAAGAAATCAGTCGATTAATGAGGGTTTGGGGGGACGGATGGGGATTGCAGGCATCTATTTATAATGATGGAAAGAAAAGGCATACGTGCATGTGTAAAAATAGTGCACAGTTGATTGCAGCTTCCTCCGCTTACCTTCCACCTGTCACTTTTCTTCTTGGATTGTAAGATGTTTGGGGTAGGGAGTGTCTTTGCTTGTGTTTTGTACAGCACCTAGCACAATGGGACCTCTGTGTGCGACTGTGATATATAAGAACAACATAATGTAAAAATAGCCATACCAGGTCAGACCAGCGATCCATCTAACCCAGTATTCTATCTTCTAACAATGGCCAATGCCAGATGCTTCATAGGGAATGAACATAACAGGGCAATTATCAAGTGGTCCATCCCCTGTCATCCAGTCCCAGGTTCTGGCAGTCAGAGGCCTAGGGATGCCCAGAGCACAAGGTTGCATCCCTGCCCATCTTGGCTAATAGCCATTGATGGACCAATCCTCCATGAACTTATCTAATTCTTTTTTGAACCCCATTATAGTTTTGGCCTTCACAGCAGCCCCTGGCAATGAGTTCCACAGGTTGACAGTGTGAAAAAGTACTTCCTTTTTGTTTGTTTTAAACCTGCTGCCTATTAATTTCATTGGGTGACCTCCTGGTTCTTGTGTTATGTGAAGAGGTAAATAACACTTCCTTAGTCACTTTCTCCACACCCTTCATGATTTTATAGACCACTATCATATCTTCACTTAGTCGTCTCTTTTCTAAGTTGAACAGTCCGAGTCTTTTTAATCTCTGCACACCTGGAAGCTGTTCCATACCCCTAATCATTTTTATTGTCCTTCTTTGTACCTTTTCCATTTCTAATCTATCTTTTTTGAGATGGGGCGACCAGAACTGCCTGCAGTATTCAAGTTGGGGGTGTACCATGGATTTATAAAGTGGCATTATGATACAGATGCTCCCGACTTACACAATCATTCCGTTCCGGAACGCTTTGCATAATTCAAATTTTGCGTAAGTCGGAAACGTATACCCGACCATTACGCAAAAAAAAAACCCCAAAAAACCAAACTCCTATTTCTAGCTTATGGAACTTTTTCCGTAAATGCAGATTTGCGTACGTCAGGTCTTGCGTAACCTGGGGAACGTCTGTATTTACAATCTTATTTTTATCCCTTTCCTAATGGTTCCTAACATTCTGTTAGCTATTTTGACTGACGCTGCACACTGAGTGGATGTTTTCAGAGAACTCTCCACAATGACTCCAAGATCTCTTTCTTGAGTGGTAACAGCTAATTTAGACCCCATCATTTTGTATGGATAGTTGGGATTATGTTTTCCAGTGTACATTACTTTGCATTGATCAACATTGAATTTCATATGCCAGTTTGTTGCCCAGTCACCCAGTTTTGTGTGAGACCCCTTTGTAACTCTTTGCAGTCTGCTTGGGACTTAACTATGTTGAGGAATTTTGTGTCATCAGCAAAATTTGCCACCTCACTGTTTACCTCTTTTCCCAGATCATTTATGGATCAAATAATAAATAATACTAAGGGATCTGAGTTCTATGTGCAGTTCCAAAGTTCTATGCCCGCTGTTTCTGTGACGGTCGAAAGAACCATAGATCTTTTCCACATGATCAAATTCTATATCCGTAATTCACCTGCTGTGCAGCTCCAGCCGTGGTAGCAATGGCAGGAGTACTATGGAATGCAGGGCTCAGAGCAGAGTTAGACAACACAGTGGTGAAAATGTCTGGGCCGTGTACACACTTGTGCTGTCACCATTGCAGTCACTGATGGAGGTGCACCAGTGGTGAATTATAGCTATGAAGTTTCCTTGCGCAGGCATAGCCAAAGTGCACAGCAAAATGGCAACCAGGAAATCCTTGGTGGCCACAGATTTGTTACAACATTATTGGCATCACCAAATACAAGGCCTAGGAGGGAGAGGATTAACTTGAAGAGCTGCAGGGGGGGGCGTGTTTCAGGCTGCTGATGAAATCAGGGCTAGAGAGGGTGACTTAGTGGTTTAAGTGTTATCCACACTAGGAGAGTGAGGTCTTTGTCCCCCTCTGATGGATGGCACACATGAGAGGTTAGTGGGTCAGCTAAATCCGGGGAGTCAGTCCTATAGCTCACATGGTAGCAGATCATGCTTTTAGGTGCTGAAGGCCTAGGGCTCGTACCTGGCTGAGGTAACATTGCTCTTGTAACCCATACCTATAGGGAAGGTTACAAGAGCAATGCCCAATGTGGAGCTTGAACTTCTATAGCCCTCAAAGGCTTAAGATGAGCAGCCCCAAGCAGCAAAGTCTGTAATCCCCACTAGCAGAGAGGAGATTGCTGTCTTTCTCAGAGGCATCAGGTATGAATCTCCTAGATTTTCCCTCCATAACCGTTGGTTTGAATCCTATCAGGCTAGAGTCAGCCCTTCATCTTTCTGAGGTAAATAAACCCTGTGTGGGTGGGTGTGTATGGATAGATGGGGGGAGGCGGGGCAGTGTTTTAGATGAGACCTTCCTGTTTCCTCTCCATGGGCAGTAAACCCCTTGGCACTTTTTGCATGAGTAGACTTCAGTGTCTGTGCCCGCAGGCAGTATGCCCTCTCCTTCACTGTGGTGCAGCGCACTGCACGCCAGCTGGCTACCACCCTCCTACACCAGAGATGACTGCGGTTCGGTGGTTCTGCCGAGCTATAAAGCCTTTAGAGATTAAATGTACTATATTTTTGTCCCCAGGGAACCATTTGGCTCTTTCTTCTGCTACTGTAATACCATTAAAAATAAATCGTAGATCTGATAATGCCCATGAGATTCAGATTAAAGTGGATCACATGGTGCTTTCTGAAGACAAGACAGAGATCTCTGAGGTGGCCCTGACATAGAGAAGCTGGTCATTGACCACGGGGTAGTGTCATGGCAGACTCTGAAGCAGCACCTGCAACAAGGCACTGAGCGACAGCTGCCTCCCATCCCTGGACGAGTCGCTGGTATGTTTCTTTCTCTTCCAGGTTATGATAGATGTTGGGGGGCATATCCAGATGGAAACAGCTAACGAGTTTATTTCTGTCTTGCTCCTGATTTGGGTAGCTCCGGGTTTTGTGATTCTACGGCTTCCCTTTTCCAGTCAGGGGAGTGCTGATTCAGACTGCCACACCACCTCTCTGGGCCTATCCTGACCAGCCTCTCAGTGGGTCATGCAGTCACATAGCACTCTGGCAATCCACTCAGTCTCCTCTCTGGTCCTCTGGGCTGGCCCAAGACACGGTCCCTGCCCCCTCAGAGGAAGCAGAATCATAAATGCATTTAGACGAGTTGTCCCAGTAAACCAATGAAATCCTATCACCGGGCAATGACACACCCGGTGTGTTAAGCCTAGGACGCATGTAGGGTTTTCAACAATCCCGTATTACAAGGGATGTCCCTTATTTAAATAGATAATTGCCTGTCCTGTACTTAATTTCCATACAACAAGATCAGGAGTTGCTGGGTGCTACAAAAGCAGCAAGAAATATGCCTGGCGAATGTAGATGAGGACTGCGTATTTATTATTAATAATGATGATAATAATTAATATTGGGAGGTGGGGTGGGGGTGCTAAGAAAACAGTCCCTTATTTTTTACATAAATGTTGGCAACCTTAGACACGGGTGATTGAGCTATCCACACACATTGAGGGTTTCTGGTGACATCCTGTAATCCTGAGAACAAAGCTCAGCTCACCTGATCCTTGGGAGAGATAAATTGAGTCAATCACAGTTTCCCGGGATTGTGGTTGTTTATAACAGAAGGTTTTCATCACCAGATTTTGACACAATGCATGTTTTTATTAAAATCAGATCCAAATTCTTCCCCTGGCCCTGATCCTCATGAACCTCCCTCCCCACCATTGTGGCCTTATTCCTTTACCATGAACATCCTCACCTAATGCCTTACAACCCTGGCATGAATCCTACTGGTCCAAATTCCCATGCTATGTACCCTTTAGTGACCTTATCTTCCTGCCATGAGATCCTTCTGCAATGATCCCCTGGCTAACCCTTAGTCTTGCCAATAGCCCATTGACCATGATCCCCTCTGCCTTAAGGCTCCTGCTTTGAATTCCCCCTCCCCGTTACTCTATTCCCCCTGCCCTGATCCCAAAACAGGAGATGGATCATTTGATGATTACCTGTTCTGTTCATTCCCTCTGAGGCACCTGGCACTGGCCACTGCCAGAAGACAGGATACTGGGCTAGATGGACCTTTGGTCTGACCCAGTATGGCCATTCTTATGTTCTTATGATTTCAGATTGCTTTGCATAAACTCATTTGCATGTCAAGGCTATTAATGAACAACCCCATGGCTGTGAGGCCCAGAGTATGGGACTGGGATATCAGAACTGACCTGGCCTATCCTACACTTGACAGTTATTTGTATAGTTCAGTCTCATTGGCTAAAATGCTGTGAACATTGATCTGGCTGTTTCTCTTTCCCCTGGCTGCGAAGTCACAACATAAAATGCAGTTGTCTGATGACATCACAAACCTAGGTGACTTCTGCTCCCTCCATTATTAAAGCTACAGACACATGCACACCCAGAGATGATTTAAGTACAGATACTTCTGTAACTCACTGTCATACTTTGAATGGTGCCTAGGCTAAGACAACTGCTACAGAGGATGGCACAACAGTGGACGGCTCAAACAGCCCTGTCACAGAAGAGATGTGACCTGTGTTGGAGCTAATTTGCAGACTGCTACTTCTGTTGGAGTCTACAGCACTTCAAAAATGCCACGGCCACTTTTCCCCTCAGGAACATTGGAGAGGGCCTGTCCACAGTCCCAAGGCCTAGCTAATGAGGAGGGGGAGGAACCCATATGCTGTTACCCGCATCACCCGCCACCTCCTCCAGACCATACTAAGAGCCTCATCAGCCCAGGGGACAATCATCTGGAAGATCCAGAGGGAGCCATTCCATTTTCCTTAAAGGGATTTGCAAAAACGAAAACTCGTGGCACAGCAAAAGAAGAAGAGTCGAAAAATAGAATGTTCGCAAAGAAATTGGCCAGACACAATCTAGGCCTTGAAGATGACTCCTTATCTCCAGAAGCACTGGGCTTGAGCTTGGAATTTCAGGAACCATTTTACAAAGACCTGGAGATGTGTGATACCTTATCAGATGATGAGGATGATGACTGGGGTGGGAGCTATCATCACCCTGCCCTTGAAAAAGCCCGTAAGTCCAGGTTTGCCAGCATGTCACCTTGTAGCCCGCACGATTCTTTATATCACAACACAGCCAGACAGTTGGGAATTGAGACATTTGCTCCCTGCCTCCATCCCAGCAACTTGTATGTTTCCTGCACAGCTCATGACAAGGCACCTGAAAGTTGTGCTCTTCATGAAGAATCCATAGGAGACAGGGAGTATCCATCTCTGCAGCTGAGCTATGAAGAACTCAGAGAGGAGAATTCCATGCTCAGGAGGAAGATCAAAAGTATCCAGAGCTTCTCAGAAAGTCAGACACGCATGGTGAGAAACCTGGAGAGAAGACTGAGAGCCAGTGTGGTCAAAGAGGAAAAAGAGGCTCAGGGTTTAGAATCCATTGTCCATCAGGCAGAACGGAATCTGCAGGGGATGGCCCAACGGGCCCTGAAGGCAGAAAGTAAGGCTGCAAAGCTGAAGCAGGAGATGTCCCTTCTCCAGGTGGAGCTGGAGAGCTTCAAGGCAGAGAATGACGTGCTGCGTGCAGGCCAGTCTGCCAGCCTGGGGGCAGTGCAACAAAATGTAGACGTTGCCTTGCAGAATCTCTGCCAGGTTATAGCCAATGCACACTTGTCAATCAAACAGCTGGTCTCAGGAACGGAAATGCTGCATTTTGTGGCTGACCTCCTGAAATCCATAGACAAGATTTCTGAAGTCAAAAAGGAAGATGATGCATGAAACAGCACTTAGGGTGCTCCCACTTGTGAGTGTATAGACTGAGATCACATTGTTCCCAGACTGCAATCAGTCATGCAATGTTTGCTTTCACATGCTGAAATGTTGCGTGTCTTCAAATAGGTGGCCTTTATCCTTCCCAGAAGTACTTTTATTGTAATTAAATATGAATTTCATGTACTAATGGAGTGTTAGCCTCCGGTGCTCTGTTTCAACAGTGCAGTGCTACAGGCTGGGAGAACCAGCTCTTTGTTCTGTCCTCGACAGAGGTCCCGTGTCGAGGTATTTTACAGGCTTTGGGCTACAAACCAGAGCCCACATTGGGAAGGTGGTGGCACAGAGGCTCGGTACCAGCAGAAGGCCCTGCAGATGCACTGGCTGACTCAACCAGAGTTCTTTCACGGGAGCTGGGGCAGAGCACGCCAGAGGGGGCTGTGTTATCCTTTATCAGATAGCAATCTACACTCCCACCTGGCTTATTTGTGCTGGCTGGCACAGAAGGTGGCTGGGCCTCAACTCTGTGCACATCTCACCTGTCCCTCTCCCCCTGCCCCCGTTGGTGGCTTGGGGAATGGAAGGAACCAGAGTTCTGGGCATGTTTGCATAGGGTTACAACGAAGGGAAAGCTCCTTATACCCTCTTAGCACTTCCCTTGAACTCAGGGTCAATCACAGTCTGTCCCTTTAGATGCAGAGGGTTCCTCTCCCTGGAACTTTTACATCCATGCATGGATAAGGACGAGAGAGACTTGCTCAGTAACCTTTATGAATTTGTTAAATATCCAAGTGTGAGCTGAGACAATGTCCCTTTCTTCACACTACTAGCTCCAGTGCGGCCTAACTGTGTGTGAAAATGCTTTGATTTCCATGTCCTTGTCCCATGGCAGAAAGGGAAAGTGCTGAGATTTAGCCATCACGGTAGCTGTACTATCTCAAGAAGGGGATGCTCCTCCTCCCACTGCTAGACCTGCGTGTGTTGATGTGGCAACCCTAACTCTGAATCTCCTACCTATTGCAGTTTGCTAAAGAATATACAGCACAGGCAGTCTTGTCCTTGCTCTGGTGGGACCATCTCCAGGGATGAGGGGGGATAGTCTCCATCACCCTTTAGCTTTTCTGTTAGGCTTAGATTATCAACCACAATTCTGCTGCAATTTATGCAACTGCACAATTGCATTTTACACAGAGGGCCTCATCTATTTTACTAGAATTTTCTCAACAGCTTTAATGCTCTTGGCCACCAGGGAAGGGTGGCAAGTCTCCAGCCCCTGATGGAGCTGGGTGGGGTGGCTCTCAAGTGGCTGTGTTTATTTCTGCCCAGGTAGGCTAAGAGGGTAATTATGGACAATTATTTGTCTTCACCTTGAGCCCAGCCAGTAGAGTACCCAAGGTTCTATCATGTCTTTACTGCTGTTCACTCATGATTCCATTCTGTCCATGCTCCTCTTCAAGTGGCCATGTATGGATGGTCTCAGATACCAAAGTGCCTGAGCAACATTTTTATCTGGCTGTGAGGCAGCTGGTTGAAACTCAGCCCAGCCAAGCCAGAGGTAGGAGGAAGTGTTTTGAGGAGCTGGCTTGTGGTTTGTCCATGTTCATTATTCAGGGAGTGTGTCCACCACTAGTTAGCCAGAAGCAGAACCTGGGGATCACCCTTAGCAGCGTGGAACTCCATTTTGCACCAGTGATCAGAAGCGGCTATTACTGTCCCTGGCTTAGAAACCCAGATGTTTCGCTTAGACTTGGACCATGACCAAATCATGCACCATGCCTTTCTCACATCCAGGCTAGTCCACTGTAATGTGTTCCTAATCACGCTTTCCTTGAATTTGCCCTGGAAAAATGGTTGCTTACTTGCTCCTGATGATGGGAGTGGGCTGGTTATGCCTGCATTCTGCAATGGCTGCCAGGAACCCAAAGAGTACAGTGCAGGATTAGCACTGGTCCACAAAGCCCTTCCTCATCTAAGAGTCATCACCCCTTGCAGTATGTTACTGCAGCTCCAGTCAGCCAGGACAAGTTGATTCTTGGTCCTTCGGGTTCATGGTTCTTTGGTTTAATCAAGACCAGGCCAGGGGCATGGCTTTCTAAGTCCACTGAACCCTCTGCAGCTGGTTGTCTACCAGAGTCCTTCCTTGGCTGCTTTGGGGGCATGTTGTAAGGCCTGTTTATTACTGCAGCCTTGTCCCTATCTCTGGGTACCTCCTGAGTATCACTTTGCTTTTTTGTATCCGTTAACCACTTTCCTTCTCTGTCTTTGGGGTGTGTTCACTAGGAAGCGTTCCCTTTTGCCTGGGGTGGTGGAGGTGGTTTGCCTGAAGGCTTCTGAGCTCCTTTAGCCCTTGTTTTTGGTGTATTCTGACCATCTGATCTCTAATCACCATGTAAGCTTTTATGTTACTGTAGTACATAATGCTAGGTGGCTTAGAAAAGTGCTAAATCGTGGGTTCTTGACCTGGGAGTTATGACTGACCTGCCCTTCCCATATTGCTAACTGGGAGGGGAGACTGGGTTAGGTACACGGGAGCCTTGGGGGCTGTGGTATGGCAAAGGGGGCTGCAGTATGGTGATTGCTGGGAACTGCTGTACTGTCTGTATAAATCAGTTCTTTATACCTGTTTTTACAACTAGTGGATTGAGACCAAGTCTTGGCGAGATAGAGCAACATTATGAGGCCTCTCCTGAGTGATCACAGAGACCTGGGAACTCCATGCTCTGCTCGCTTGGCCAGGGACTGCTCTTTTTGGTTGTCATGTTGATGGGATTTTCCTTTGTTGTTTGTCTCTAAGGTGTGTGCTCAGCACCAATCACAGGTATGGCTGGAGCCACAGCTCATCAGGGGTGGGTCCCAGCCTCACCTGGTCCCATGTGAGCTCCGCTGTTTGAGACTCGTGACACGTACAACTCCCACTGCATTTCACGATCTGAGATACCCTGATGATAAAGCGAGCCATGGGTAGCGTCCGAGTTAACAGGTGAGTGACCCTTTCTCAAAGGCTGTCATCATCCTTGGGATTATGGGATTCCTTGCCCAACCCCTTCTCCCCTCAGCGGCATGTGTGTCTCTTTAAATCTATTCCAAACTACACCTCATCACTCCCCACAGTGTCAATGGCTGCCAGGCCACACCTGCTCTGCTTCCCCTCTCCAAGTTTATGGCCCTTTTCCCCTGCTCCCACCTTATTAGGAATGTGCCACACATATGTGAGGAGTTACCAGTTCTCAGCCAGATCAGTCCCTTTAGTGGAAAGGGGAAGCAGATGAGGGGAAGGTGACGGGCTGAGGCAGTTGCCCAGCAAGAGGGGAGATGAATTACAGATTTCTGCCTGTAATCATCAGGAGATAAATGCCCACCTTCCTTAGACCTCACTTTGCCCTTCCCAAATGAACGGAAGAGGGTGAATGATTTGGGAGATGATTATTATCGCCTTGAAGGGACCCCCATGTTTGATTCATGAGGCATCTCAGGAACAGTTAGAGACGGGGTCAAGGAAGCCATCTTGGAGAACTCCAGATGGTATGCTAACCTAGGGAGATCAATGGAGTACAGAGACGGTCCTTGAAGGAGAGGCACTGAAAGCCAGGATGCCCCCTGTGGGCTCCCTCCTCCTGAAAGTCTATCAACTTAATTCTACCAATGGTCAGAGCATCCACTCTGATTATGGGATCAGGGAACAACTGTGATGTCATAGAGAGCCTTATGTGACCTAACAGTAGCAGCTTTCTTCCTGACAGGGAGCAGGGAAGTGGTTGGGATATTCTGAGGGAGAGGGGAGCGTGAGAGCGGGACAAGCAGCTCTCAGAGAGAGGGAGTTTCTCACAGGGAATCTGCCAGCACTTTGGCTGTTGTTGATCTCTAAATTACACCTTTGGCTCTGGATACAGGATGCTGGGAGCCATGTTCGTTGCTGTGGCAACAGAATTGTCCTGAACTCAGGAAGTGTATAAACATTGTCACAGATGCACAATTAGATCAGTGAGGAGAAGGCAACAGAAAATAGAAACTTCCAACCTTATATAATTCAGGGCCAAAATGTTATAAGATCCCAGGCCCTTGTGCTTAGTCTTCTCTGCTGGCTGCATCTGCACCTCATTGTAAATTAAGACTCGCGGGGCTTTGAGGTATTTTCTCAGAGTTAAGGCAAGTCAAGATTTCAGTGTTGTGAGCTTCCTCACAGTGGAGTTCAGTCAGGACTTGGGTAGAATGAGTTTCCTTGCAGCAATGCTCTGCAAAATGTCCAACCAGGGATCCACCAATCTTTAGAGCCCTGCGTGGATACAAACACGTGTATTTGCATCCAAGCTGTGACCCGCACAATTTATCTGCGGATATCCGCAGATTTGCAGGTCTCTACACCGGGGGCCGGGCTGAGGCTCTGAGGTACCGCACCCCCCCGCCCCACCGGAGCCCAGTCGGGGAGAGCCACGCAGGCAGCTGTGAGGAGCCCGCCTGGAGTTGTGGACCCTCCACCTGCCCTTGGCCAGGCGGGAGTCTGAGGGGCGGGGCCACAGCCGGGAGCTGCTCTTAGGTCCCCCCCGCATCACGGGCAGGTGGAGGGTCCGCCACGGCTCCTCACGGCTCCCCAGCTGGGCTTCACGCGGCCTGGCCTGGGGAGGGGGGTGACCTGGGGAGCTGTCCGAGGGGTGCTCGGGCCCCCAGCCCAGGGCAGGTGGAGGGTCCGCCGCAGCTTCCCGCAGCTCCCCGCCTGGCTCTGACTGTGGCCGGGCTGCTGCTCCGAGCTGGCCGGAGCCAGAGAGCTGTGCTGGCAGCTGACTCCCTCCACCTGCCCCGGGCGAGGGGCCCAAGCAGCCCCCAGCCCCTGTCCCTGCCCCGCAGGCCTCCCGCCCAGGACAGGTGGGGCAACCCAGGCTCCCCACAGCTGCCCGTGTGGCTCTCCCAGACCGGGCTCCAGTGGGGGAACGGGGGGGGGGGCCTCAGAACCGCAGCCCAGCCACAGTAAGAGCCAGGGGGGCAGCCGCAGAGGACCTTCCACCTGCCCTGGGTGGGGGGCCCGAGCAGCACCCGGTCCCTGCCCCCCAGACCCTGCACTCAGTTCCTCACAGCTGCTCGCCCGGCTCTTACCGTCAGAGCCCTTTGTGGATACATTTGCATCCACATCCGCGCTGCTGTCCATGGACATAAAGCAGAAACTTGTGGATTTGCAGGGCTCTACCAATCTTACTGCCGTGTCTTGGTAGAACCAGCTGGGGAATCCAGTGTTGTGAACTTCCTCATGACAGTGCCCTGTCAGGACTCCAACACTTCCTCACAGCAGCATCCTGACAATGCCACAGAGGACCCAGACTCGTGCTCTTCCTCAGAGCTCTCCCTTGGCAGTGCCCAGCTAGCCACAACTCCAGTTGTTTCCACTTCTTCACAGCAGGGCTTTGTCTCTGAGAGCATGAGCTTCCTCCTGGGGAGCCAGTGACCCTGTACGTGCTCAGGTTCCCCCCCACACACACTCTTTTTGTTTATACCTCAGCAGTTTTTTTTCTCTGAAAGGTACAGCATTGTCTCAACTGAAGAGGATGGGCACAAGGTCTCTGCTCTGGGCAACATGAATGGGCACAGCTGGAATGGGAAAGGACATGTCCCCAGGCGGAAACGCCGTAACCGTTTTGTGAAGAAGAATGGCCAGTGCAACGTGTACTTTGCCAACCTGAGCAACAAGTCTCAACGCTACATGGCCGACATCTTCACCACATGTGTGGACACTCGCTGGCGCTACATGTTTATGATCTTCTCAGCAGCCTTCCTGGTCTCCTGGCTCTTCTTCGGCTTCCTCTTCTGGTGCATTGCTTTCTTCCATGGTGATCTGGGTGCCACTGGGGTGGGCGGTGTCCCCAGTACTGCAAAACCCTGCATCCTTCATGTCAATGGCTTCCTAGGAGCCTTTCTCTTCTCGGTGGAGACACAGACCACCATTGGGTATGGGTTCCGTTGTGTGACTGAGGAGTGCCCGCTGGCCATCATGGCAGTAGTGGTCCAGTCCATCGTCGGCTGTGTCATCGACTCCTTCATGATCGGCACCATCATGGCCAAGATGGCGCGGCCCAAGAAACGGGCCCAGACCCTCCTTTTCAGCCATCATGCTGTCATCTCTGTGCGCGATGGCAAACTGTGCCTCATGTGGCGAGTGGGAAACTTGCGGAGGAGTCACATTGTGGAGGCTCATGTCCGGGCTCAGCTCATCAAGCCCTACATGACACAGGAAGGTGAGTACCTCCCGCTGGACCAGCGGGACCTCAACGTGGGCTATGACATAGGCCTTGACCGCATATTCCTGGTGTCCCCCATTATCATTGTCCATGAGATTGATGAGGAGAGCCCACTCTATGGAATGGGCAAGGAGGAGCTTGAGATGGAGGACTTTGAGATTGTTGTCATCCTGGAGGGGATGGTGGAGGCCACAGCCATGACCACCCAGGCTCGCAGCTCCTACCTGGCCAGTGAGATCCTCTGGGGCCACCGTTTCGAGCCTGTGGTCTTTGAGGAGAAGAACCGCTACAAAGTGGACTACTCACACTTCCACAAGACCTACGAGGTGGCTGGCACCCCTTGCTGCTCAGCCCGGGAGCTGCAAGAGAGCAAGATCACTATCCTGTCTTCTCCGCCACCTCCTAGTGCCTTCTGTTATGAGAACGAGTTGGCCTTAGTCAGCCAAGATGAAGATGAGGATGAGGATGAGGTGGAAGTGGGGCCCGGGTTAGGAGGAAGCACCAAGAAGGATGGAGGAGTCATCCAGATGACGGAATTTGGGAGTCACTTGGATCTGGAACGGCTACAGGCTACCATCCCCCTGGACACCATCTCCTACCGCAGAGAGTCAGCCATCTGACTCCTCCTGCCTTTCCATTCCACATCTATTGCCCACCATCTCCTTCTCCCTTTCATTCCAGTGCTTAATTGAACTATTCCCCAGAGAACCTCCTTTGCCTATGTCTCAGCCCCTGAGCATGTACAGTGTGAGACATGTTCATGTTTCCAGTGGGCACAACCCACACTGGAACAGACTTCTTGCAACCAGATGGGAGAGCAATATGTGTATTTTGAACTCCCACATTGACAGCTGATGTGAGGGAATGCCCCCACAAGCCCCACCACTGTTTGGGGCTGGAACCATGGGAAGACAGGCTTGGACCCAAAGCAATCACCTCAGTACAACCGTTGGCCACTAAATGGGTCCAGCTTGTTACCAGGGACAAAGTAGGCTATAAATGCCAACCAAACTGGGAGGCCAGGAGAATCTGGGGGTCATGGGGAAAGAGTGAAAAGGATCCGGGAAGTGGGGTGTATTTTGCATGTTTTTTGCTTGTTGTACATGATATTATTGTATATAAAACAGATCAAGAACCAAAATCCATATTCTTCCATTTAAAATCCTAGATCAGGAGTCAAGGACTCAGTAGCCCTCTTGACTCTCTCTCTGGCCCTTGGCATCCTTGACTCTCAGAGGCAGGTTGACTCCACCTACCCATCCCAAGTCTCCCTTGGTTCTTTTTAAAAACTATTCCCGACTTTTCCCAGAGACACCCACCAGAGGAGGCAGAGCTCTGTGTGTGCAGAGGGAATGTTAACTGGGGCAGTGTCTGGATGACAGACAAATGACTCGTTCAGGACAGTGGTTCCTCCACAGACTCTTTCCACCTCCTCTGTCCTCCTCCCTCTGTGAGCAGCTGTACAACTGCTGTAACTATTTATTTTTAAAAAGAAAAGGAGGACTTGTGGCACCTTAGAGACTGACCAATTTATCTGAGCATAGGCTTTCGTGAGCTACAGCTCACATGAGCTGTAGCTCACGAAAGCCTATGCTCAGATAAATTGGTCAGTCTCTAAGGTGCCACAAGTCCTCCTTTTCTTTTTGTGCTGTAGCTCACGAAAGCTCATGCTCAGATAAATTGGTCAGTCTCTAAGGTGCCACAAGTCCTCCTTTTCTTTTTGTGAATACAGACTAACATGGCTGCTATTCTGAAACCTATTTATTTTTAATAAAGTATAATGCCCCAGGGGAAGTCTGGAAAGAAGAGAGAGAAAGAGACCCCATGGCTGAGGTAGTGTGCAGTATTATTACTGCTAGGATCTATTTGATATTTATATTGCAGTAATGCCCGGGAGCCCCAATCAGGGCCACATTGGCCTAGGTCCTGGAGATGCCCATACGAAGATGGACCCTACCCTAAAGAGTTTGCAGTCCAAGAACACAAGTGGCATATGAAAAGTGTTGGGACAGGGATACCACCCGTTATATACACATAAACATATCCACTTGGTATAGCACTCGGTGCCCTTCGGATGGGGGCAAGGCCACCTAGAGGTTGATGAGCCTCCTAGGGGAGAGCGGGGTCTTTTAGCTCAGGCAGGAGAGGTTCATGCATTAAGAACCACAGGTCCCAGGTTCAATCATATTGCCAATAGCCCACCCAGGGTTACAGATGTATTCATTGTATTATACATGTACATACCTTTGCTTAAAAATTATGATACGTGAAGTGTCAGCTATGCCCATGAGGAGATCAATCCTGCTCTTGTTGAAGCCAATGGGAGTTCTGCCAGCGATGTCAACAGCAGCAGAATTAGAACCTTAGTGAGCAGCAGGCCAAAGCACCAGATCTATCTAAAGCTTTCTCTTACTTCAGTAAAGTGGTGTGCTCTTAACTTGAGTTAGCTAACTGGACGTATAATCCTAGTGAACACAAGGCACTTTATAGTTGTCACACACATTGGCAGGTTGAGTTAAAGCCCACCCCTGCCATACTCTTTAATTCAACCTGCAAACTTGGAAGAAGACTACAAACTGCTTTGTCTTCACTAGGATTTTATCTCAAGTTCATTAACTCAAACACACCTTTTTTTGGTCGTGAAGACAAGGCCTAAAAGAGACTGTCTTGGAAGTTATCCCACTACTGCCACCCAGTGATTTATTTATACAGGAGGAAGCCAGGGAAATCCTCCCCCTACTAATTGTCTCTTCCTTGGTTCTAAGCATTCACTAGCTTCCCAGCCCAAGGAGATGTATTTTCCTCTTCTCACTAGGCCAGAGCCTGAAGTCATTACTCAAGTTTTGCTCAGATAAGATTCTCACTGAAGTCAAGGGGAGTTTTGCCTGAGAAAGGGTTCCAGGTCACCAGTTATATTACAGGCATGCTTACTAGGTAGGTGAAGAAATGGGGGTTACAGCAACTATTGGTAGGTTTTATTAACAATAGCAAAAACTCCTCCATTAGTGGGCATATAAAATATGTGCAGAGAAGGGGGGGGGAGTGAGGAATCTGTGAGTGCACTGCACTGCTGCTTAGTGGTTCAGTGTGGCCTACGGGAACTATGGAGATGCTTTCCACCCAGGAAATGGAAGCTGTGGAGACAGTCCTTCAAAACTACAGAGAAAAAATACAAGAGAGAAAAAACAACCAGATTGACGGAATAGCTGCTCTTGGTCCATACAGCTAAACCCCATGGGAGAGCAGCTGCTTTACATGAGAGAATGACCTCCCACCCCATCTCCTGGGGCACCTATGACACAAGGAAACTGGAACAAAATACACATGTAGCATGACAACATTTGTAACTGGTACAAAATGGGGGAAGGGAAGGAGGGAATGGATAGCACAGGGAGTAGAAGAGAGGAGATTAGGAGGAGGGGATGAGAAGGAGAAGCTTAGGGAGCAGGAGTAGGAGAAGGATGAAGGGAAAGTGCGGGGGATGAAGGAATAAGAAAGATGAAGGGAGCGAGGTTGTGAGGGGATCAGGGAATAGGTAAAGGAGAGTGAGGAGGAGGAGAAAGGAAGGGGGAGTAGGTGAGAACCGCCAGGAATGAGGAGGAGGAACGAGGGTAGATGTGTAAATGGTCCTTCACCCACCTTCCTAAATAGGTCAGCAATGATTCATTCATACCTCCCCCCTTGGAAGGTACATATTAGTAAATGTGCGTAGGAGCCACATAGATTATTGTGTCTCTAATGGATTTTCCCATCGCTAGCATGACATGCACCCTCATGTACCACTTGCTGATCCATGTGTGTCCCTGTCCCTACTTCTCCTCTCTTCTCTCCCAGCTGCTAATTAATGAAGGGGTTTGTTTGTTTGTTTTTCCCCTTGAGGGCATAAACAAGGCTCAGTATTGACCTGGCTTTTAATATAGCTTTCAGAGGCTTGTGCCTGTCGCTGGGGCACTGTACTGGAAACAACTAATGGACCGAGAAGGAAGGACTCCCTGTGTGAGGACACAGAAATCCAGGACACACATCCACAGACTGGGGAGGTGTACACAGGGAGAGGAACCCACACAGCTGTGCACCTGTGTGCCATGTAGCAGTGTACACCAGAGATAAGGCAGTGAGTGTGCAGACACAGGATGCTCACAAGATCGTCATGTGTCTGCATGTGCACAAGACTCTGCACATGCAGACATAAGGATGTGCACAAATACGTACACATGCAAACATGGTGACATGAGTGTGTGTACAATGCTCAGTGCATGCAGACATGCAGCCTTAGGGGAATGTGAAAATGGTCTACGTGGGCAAATACATCAATATGGGGCCCTGTGCTCTTTGTACAGGACTCAGCTTCAGCAAACATTGGTTTGGGCCTGTGCACACAGCTACCCATGTGCACACATACAGAGAAAGCATGCACACAAAGGTCTATGTGTGCAAATGTATAGAGATGGGGAAAGTGTGCAATACTCTGATGTGTAAAGATGAGGTGTGTACAATGCAATAAATGTGCAAGCATGCAGAGGCAGAGGTGTGTACAAGCAAACATGTAGAGATGGGGTAGGTAAACAAGGCTCTACACCCAAATTGACAACTCATAGCATTCAGGTATTGGGAGTATGGCCTCAAAAATATCATAAGATCGGCTACAAATCGTGAGACTTTTAAAAAATAGTAGGTTTGGGGATCATTTTATTTGTCTTCTGGTTTCTGTTTTTATATTTTCTCTGTAACCAGGAGGACTAGAAATATACTTTTTAAAAAATGAAAGCTGAGAGTCTCATTGAATCACATGATCCGAGCAGCTGGGGCTTTAAGGAAAAAAACACCAAATATTGAGAGACTCGCAATCAAACTGTGAGAGCTGGCAACATTGCCACGTACAGAAAGAACAGAAGAGAAAGCTGAGGGAGACAGATGGAAGGAATGGTGGAGAGAAGAAGGAAAAGAGAGATGAAAGGAGGAGAATGAGCTCCTAATTCTTCCTCTCTTTCCCTTTGCTTTCACATGACACCCTGCCTTGCTCCAGCCCCTCCATTGCACCACGGGAGGGAGTGCCTCTCTCCGGAAAAAAGGGAAACTGAATGCCCAATGGTGAGGTGAGTGCTCTCTCCGGTGGAGTGATATGGAGTTAAGACAGAAATAAGATCTGCTACCCCCTAACCCCCAAACACCATAACCACAGTCACAACTCAACCTCAACTCTGGGAGTGCAAAGCCAGTGAAAATGGCATCATTGAAGCCCTGTGGCCTGGTAAATATATGGAAACCCTGCAGTCTGGCCTATGGTGTTGCCATGGAAACCAAAACCTTACTGAGTTGTTATTATTTCCCTGGAGAACTCTTAGACCAGGGCATGACACCCTTGAGAAGGGCTCCCATATGTCCCTAAAAATGAGGAGGGTGCCTGTTTCCAGGCCTTGCCCTGGTCACCCAGGGTTGCAGCCAACTCCCACAATTTGTTGTATTTCTTAAACCCCCAGCTCCTGGAGTCTTATGAATACCTGAGAGTCTCTGCTTTCATTTTAAAAACAAAGTACAGTACGTTTCTATCCCGCATGGTTGCAAAGAAAAGCTTGAAAACTAGAGACTCAGAAACAAGATGGCAAATAAAAAGATCTCCAATATTTATTATTTTTTTAAATCTTCAGCTGTTGTGGGGCCTGACTCATGCTACTTCCATGCTTGGAGTTGCTTTCACGGCTTGTCCCTGTTGCCTGTACAAAAACTGTCTGGTAGTGATTTGTGTAACGCCTGCAGACTGGCCGCCTGAGTGGGTGATATTCAGGACAGGCTGGTGTGGCTGGGAGCGTGTGCACTTTAGGAACAATGTATCCCCCCTAGCATACCTGTCACACATTGCTCCCTTCCCCTCTGCAAAGAGGACTCCCTGTGAAGCCCTTCCCCAGCTCTCCAGCCAAGTCCTCACAGCAGCCTTCCCCAGGCACCTAGCAGCAAAACCACAGGTGAAGAAGGAGAGGACAAGCCAAAGCCTGGTGGAACATACTCTCCCACACACAAACACTTGTACACCACACTCACTTACTCTACACATACATTAACACATCCCAGGCATACCACAACCTCTTCCCACAAGCATACTGTCACCATAAGCTCCACAAAGATACATCACTCACACCATGTATAATCACCTAGAACAAATCCACTCCCACAGCACACGCACACACACGCACACACTGCCAATTCCCCACAGACATATAAACACCGAGACACAAACGCTCCCTACACATGCAGACACCACAATCTCCTCTGCATACACTACTATACAGCGCATGAGGCTGTCCAGCCCACATGTCCCCTGTCATATGCTCCAGGATGCTTGCTTTCCTGAAGCAGGTCCCGCAGGAGAGTGCTTCCCACCTGCCTCTCATCTCTGGCCCTCCAGACTTTGTCATTGGGCCCGTCCTGCGAGCCTCCCCGGCTGCCCCTTA